CAAGAATGTCAATAAAAAAGCAACCTAGTCTTTCGTATTATAAAGGAAATAAGGAAACGTGGATGACACAAACACCTAAATGAAGGAATACATAACAACCAATCTCGACAGTGAAGAGAACCGAATCGAATTTTAAAAGATTTGCCCACTGATTAACTCCACGCTTCAACCGAAAGCAATAATTGTTTTCACGTTTTAAACAATATTAACAAGTGTTGTATGCAAGCTAGGAAATGAAAGGTATGGATATAACATCTTCCAGAATACGAACTAAACGTATATCGCAAACACGTGAAGAGAACAAGGTTGGGACTGGGGTTTAAGTCAGAATATAACTATGAATATTAATAGTTAGTTAAAAATATGTACACCTAAAAATATCACACTGAAAATATGGTTTTAGAAAATCAAGACAGAACATTGTGATTTTAATAATTGTGTACAGCATTTTAATTTTGTGTTTTTTGTCAGCAAGTGAGAATGTCGTATTGATTCCAGGATTTTAATAAATTCGTGTAACGAGAACAACGCGTTCACATTTTAGAAGGCACATTCCATCTCTAATTGTTAAACGTTCTTGTGATATAAAAACTAAAAGAGCGTCTGGTAACATTTTTTGATGCCAATTAGACGTGAATGCTACGTGAATTCTACGCACATAGTTTACATTGTTTCACGTCTTGCCGAACTACGCAATATAATAATAGAAACTTGTCAGCCAAAGGGTACAACGTGTTGTACTTGATATTATAAGAGACACGTAGATATAATAGATATACAAATGAGGAAAGCCAAAGCGATCGGTATGATAATGATTGCTTGGATATCAAAAACTTTTCAAAACAGCAATGAAATATAATTCTAATAAAGAACGTTGGTAATTTTTCCCAAGCAACTGCTAATGGGACACCTGAGAATGTCTACCTTAAAGATCGGTATGATTATATAAGTCTCTGTTTGTAATCTGGTTACAGGCATAGTAACAATTATCAAGAAATAGGAGAGCGTTAGAACGATAGAATTTAATAGTATATAATATGGAATATAGGCATCCTAATTACTGTCAACTATTTATCAAATTTTCAAGATGTAAACGCGACGTTGGTAATTTTCATTAAGTATGATTACTATCTTATACTAAAATATGTTTGGATATTTAGAGTAGTAACAAATTCCCACTACTGGCCCGGTTAGACTTAAAATACACCACGAATATTCACTTTTGAGATATAATTTTTGGTATGTGTTGGTTCTTGTATATTTCAGCTTCGTCGTCCTGTACTTCGTTTAGTAATTCAAACTTCCCAGATTGCTTAAAAACGGATAGTTTCGCAATTTTGAAACGGAAAATGTTTTGGCTTAATTATTTGCTGAGGGATGGCCACTTAGGTATGTGCTCTGTAACTTGCAGCACGTTAAGCTAAACGCGTTAGGTAATCAAACAGAAACGTTGGACTAAATTACAAAAAAGTACGTTCAAGGTTTTCAATTTTTCATAGCATAAAAACGAGTTGCTTCCTCGCTTATTGTTACACCCTCAAATCGAATGATTTCCATTCCCCTCAAAAGTCAACAATGGTTGAGCCCCCTATTTTACACTACCATTCAAAACATTCATTCTTGCTTCATATGTTTATTTGCCTTAATTACGTTTCGGTGGCTATGATATTGCATTACTTGCATTACATTGCGTTTTATCGCCCACATCAATAGTCTCTCACCCCTTGGTTATTACACAGGGACTGTGGTTATTACAGGTGTCACTGATTCACGTTCCAAATACTGGTTCCCAGGCGCCTATAATAAATAACTTAAGCTTTTTTGGCCTAGATGGAATTCCTGTTCATACGCATTGTCGAATGTTCACATGATTGTACGTAAAAACACACTCTTGAACTTGACAATCATATTCACTTTCAGATTAATAAGCAAATATATATAAATACCAGTTGCATAAACATGAAGATTGATGATTTAGTTGCTGGCCGGGATAGGTGCATTTAGTGTTCATTTATATGCAATGTAAAATTATATCGCTGCTATGGGCGCGACAGCTGACAGACTGAATTGTTTCTGCGGCTTTCATGGCACGAGCAACTGATTTTAACTGACTTTTTTCACTATTTTGACGTATTCAGGGCTGTATATAACAGTCAGACACTGACTAGTAAGTAAGTATTAGTAAACAGTCCCTGACATAGTCAATATCGGAGTTTGAGTCAGTTAGGCCCTGAAGATAGCTTCATCACACAGTATTGCATTAATTAACACAATCCCATAACAATCTTATACTTACAAATAATCTGATAATCATTGACAAATTAACAATCCCTATTATTAACGCCAGTTGTGAACTTGATTAGGACTCCTGCATGAAGTTACACAGGTAGAGAAAATGCATCATTCTAGCAAGGAAAAATATTGATATCTTTTTTCCAGGTTATATATATTATATAATATGTACACACTATATCTAATAGGGTGGGAATTACAAAGCCAGTTTATAAAATTGTGAACAAATATAACTCTGACCGCAAATATTCCCTCTAGAAGTGTTACTGACGAAATATTTTATATTGCAATTTATTTCAATTTTAATTAGTTGTATTGCAATGCATTAGTAATAATAATAATAATAAATATATATACTTTTGTTCATTGTTGAGACTGAGTTATACATTATTACAATTTATCTATATCGGAAAATTGTTATGGGGATTATTATCAATGTCATTAAGATCATTAATTACAGTCCATAAGCAGTATAAAAATACATGATGCAAAGCCCATTATAAATGATCAAATGTTTATTGGTCTTTGAAACCATTATCAGAGGCATTATCAGAGCATGTGTCTTATTTTGGAACTTCAGCGCAACTGCACAAATCATAAGGGCAAATTAATATCGTTTAAGGATGGTATTCCCAGAATAGCGCCAGTTGTTAAAGAAACATAAACCTTCTCAAAAACGATGAAAGGACCAGTTACTGCGACAAAGCCCTGCTTCCCGCAAAAACCACCCGATACGAAACCCACTCGCGAAGCTACTAGTATCGATATTGAATATTTTTTGTCGTACAACATTTTGTCATTCAATTATTTGTCTAAGAAAAAGAGTGTACTTTACTTTAATCAAATTTCAAAACACCATTCAATAGAGGAAAAAACTTATTGAGAAAAAATTAGTGTCACACACCTATTTGGGTGTCCATGTTATTAAGCTTTGGGAATAAAATACAAAAGCATTTTCATTGCAAAAGTGTGATCCGCATAGCCTTCTGTATGATGCGCATTTCTCCTCTCCTGAGGCATTTAGACATCATGATAACTTTTATGCTAGTGATATGAATTATTGAATGAGCGGCTCTAGAAACGAATTATTTATGAAACTGTAGCCTCCAATTAGATGGAAAAATGATCAATCAAAAAGGCCTTCTTTACCATACAGATATATCCTTTGGGGTATGTGTGGACTATCTTGCAATTTCTGTAATGTTACTTATCTAAGTACATCATACCATACTTCATTCAATTATATGGCAAAATATGCGTATAACACTACCCGACCCTCATGAATCCGGAATCGGTTAAAACGAGAAATGGTATCAGGAATTCATGGCGACATTTCATAGGCATTTCAATGTTTGTTTAGAGAGTGTTTTGTTACATGACTAACTACACTACTAAAACGATACATGAACAACACAGATACCTTACATTCAATCGATATTTGCTAATGCATTATTCACAGTTTAAGAGATAAAAAAAATATATTTTTGATTGAAAAAAATGCATGGTTCATATGTTAATGAGCCAGCACTACAGGGAAAACGGTCCAAAACATTGGTACAATTTATTTTACTCACAATTTCGCGAAATGTTCATTTAATGTTTCAACATCATTCAATTTGTGTTTTTTGAGAAAAAAAAACAGCGGTCTCCTAAAGCTGATGTTACAGTCACCTGGAATGTCGTCGTATGAGGTTTTACGAGAATATAAATGTACAATAATGTTTTGTAACAAAAGGGGGATTGGATAGAAAAACGATTAACACCCAACATTTAGGGTCGTGATGATACAATAGCTGCGAGCGAACAGAGAGGTCGCCGAAGAGATCAAGTAATTTATATCTGCATGACTTTTGCGCGATACCATGTCAAGAGGTTAAGTCGAACTATCATCAACAGTAATCGAGTAAGAGTGGTTTTACATTGTATAATACATTGTATAAATAACATTGCAGTCGTTTTAATATTTGAAAATATACCATCATCAATTTATATTACACACCATCATCAATTTATACAACGATGTTATCTATACGAATATGTGCGTGTTTCGTAAATTTTGAACGAGCACGTGTGGTAGATATATTGAACATGGCGTCGACAGTTATACCTGTATCACGACTGAGAAAAGCCTTCAGTCATTGCTGACAATTGATGCGTGATGATTGTGAAATGAGATTGATTTTTTCAAATGTGTGTACGTGGTACCATGGGTCGCTATATTGCTTGTACATACAACAATGCTGCTTTTACTGTGCCATCAGTAGTGCACAAGATAAGATATTGTTTGTTGTGGAAAATGTTACCGTTATTGCGGGGTCAAAATGCCATTTAATATGCAGATATATCGAATCATAACATATAACTGAACTGATAAAAGAATATAGAAATTATGAGGACACCAACGCTTTACTGTCAACATCGAGCGAGCACTATGGTTACGTAGAAATATTGAACACGACGTCGACAGGAAAACATGTATCACGAATTGCAGAAAGCTTAGAGGACATCAAGCAGTCATTGCAAGCGATTGACAAAAACGATGCGCGATAAATGTGAAAGAGCAATGAAATGTACAAATATGTATATGCGACACAGGTGATTTTATATTGCTGCACATACACCTTGTTCCTAACTAATGTTTATTATTTAAAGCTACTTTGCGTTCATGGTCAATTATCAAATACATAAATACATTGCGCGCGTCTTACCTTTCCATCGCTATTACCAACAACGTGTTGACAGAGACATTGAGAGAAACAACTTTTACCGTGCCAACAATGGTGCACAATATAGATCCAAATATCCAGTTCTGTTCAAGGTAGTAATACAGGGTCAACGGTGCACAGATGATGGCTACCAGTGCGTCGGACACAGCTAGGCTAGCAATAAACAGATTGGTCACCGTGCGTAGTCGTTTCAGGCGAAAGATCGTGAAGCAAAGAAGGCTGTTTCCAAAGCCACACACCAAAAATATGAGTACGAATATGACTGTAAGTACGATTTTAGCAGCGGTAGGAACTACCGGCAGATTGTTGTATTCTCCATAGTAGTAATTTCCGTACAAGTCATCAAAATCCGGCAAACGCCAATCAGCATGATTAAATGCACTACTGTTAAATAACGCGTATGCCTGCTGCACATCCATTGTTACAATCAGATTTCAGCCTTCAGTACGCCGCAACTGATGTGCACTACGGATACGTTGCTGACTTTTACGGTACCAGTTCTCATCAACTGTTATATAACTACACTGCACTCATTCGCCAAGCCTGTGCACAAATATTATATATGAAGAAGTTTACAAAATATATTATGTTTAAACGGGCATGCGCACACTAAATCTACGATACAGCCCATTTCGGTATATTATTAAGAGCGCCATCGGGAGATGTAGACAGTTTGATATTTAGCGACAATGTTTTATCTAGACCGTCCGTATCATAGTACGCTGGAGATATTACATCTTGTTGGCAGCTGCTATGAGTAATTGTGTTGAATAAAGAACAGAAATAAAAAAACACATTGTATATATTAATCGGAAAAAAAATCAATTACAGCTTCTTTAGATTAACTACCAATGCCTATAGACGTTATGTTTTATATTATGCATTCATATTCTTTTGATATCGGGAGGTCAGTTATTCTGTAATCAGACATTCATCCATTGCAGTCGCTTTCTCTTTCTGTGAACTAGTTCATACCTTTTAATTATATGAGGTTGTTTCAACCATATTTAGTAATTTCCTTAATTCTCCGATTACCTTAATACATTATACTATATGTAAATTGCTCAAAATGCACATTCATGTAATGACGATTACGTGACTGACGAAGTACGTACGCAATATAACAACACATTATTCGTTAGAAGTTGTTGTCTTTATATTATGTTATGAGTGAGGGTGTCATTAATATAAACCAGCATTGCGTCATTAAGTGTGCTTGTAATCTGTGACGTTGACAGGGGTCATCGTATTGAGAATGATGTACATATTTCATCACATTTGAACGTTTTGACACTCAGTACTGAAAATAACAATGCGACTATTATTCATATGTAATTTTCATCTGTGGAAAATGTAATAAATGCGTGGCATAGAAGTGCTCTGAAAGGAAATGGTAGCCAAAATATTAGATATCAAAATGGTCGGTCGATAATGCATACATCCTATACTTTTGTTAGTGGTTCGGTAACGTACAGTTATTCATTTATTACAACACACATTACCTGACGCGACTTCAATTTCGTTTACTATGTGCCATGATGCAATGCATAGAAAACTGAAAATCCACACTGTGTTTATGTAGACAATATATGAATATCTCACCCCTTGCTCAAAACAGGAAGTATTTCTTCGTAAATAATTGATGAAAATAGGTTTGATAAGGTTTGTATGCAGACTCTTTTTGTACAGACAAAATACGCCTCTATTAATCTGTATTCTTCCTAAATACCTCTTCTTATCCATTCAGAACATGTTTTGCATGCATGTACTAAGGATATAGTGAGTATTAGGCAGTATTCTTCGAGAATATTTTTTAAAATTTACCTGTGTTCTTACCTATCCAGTGCATGGTTTACAATGGGATGGAGGAATGACACTTATTCATGAGGATTAAGGGTATTCATTTATTAAATTGATTGACAATATGTGTCCTGTCATGCAATATCATGCAGCAACTGAGTGAGCATATTTGCTTATCATTTGAGGAGTTATGACCAGCATATTTATTATATTAATTGTTCTTTAGAGAGAGACATTTTATGCTGTATATATCATCAGCAAACCAAATCTTGCACGTAAACGTATGCAATAGCAATCAGCTCTGACAGTTTATCTTAACTGTAGGTAGACAAACTTGAATTATATTTTGGTGCTGTTTGTGAAGTTAGGGTTTTGAATTGCGTATGTTTACCTGAATAAACCGACTTCCTGTGAACATTAGTCCCGTAAAACACACATAGACCTCTTTGTTAAAAACGCCTGGCCAGACCGACCCCTGTCTACTTCGAACATCGACCGACGTGATTGAACTCACGGTGGTCATTCACACTGAGCAGATTGACCGCCAATATTATGCTGTCGGTAACAAGTTGTTTAATCGTCTCACTTTAACCCGGAAGAGCGACCATGCTCAGTAACGTGAACGAACCAGACAGCGATGTATTGCCTGAGTACACATAAACAAAGGCAAGATTTCACAGCGTGGGTTGGTGGTGTTAACGAGTGATTATAAAACGAAGGCGGTGTACTTATGCAGCAAGCTGTGTTGGTTCCAGTTGTAATCTGTCATTGTGACAGTAATTATTTTAATTATGTGTACAATTATCACCTAAAACAAAAGAATTTCCCTACAAATATGAAACCAGAACAAAGAAAAAAATTATTCTGCATATGGGAGCCGATCATAACGATCCAACTCTACGCTTTACGCTTTACCGCTTTACAGCATTGCGTTATTGCCATGACTCATCAACCACAGTAACGCCGGGGAACAGAGCTCACCGTCGCTGACAAAGTGGAACTCATCAAAGAAGCACAGTCGACAAAATTAACTCTACAGCAACTGGATCAAAAGTATGGCATTGGCAAAACGACTGCTACTGACATCATAAGAAAAAAAGCTGACTACCTGAGACAGTACGAAGTAAATGTTAATGGTTCCCTTCAACGCATCATAACAACGTCCAAATTTGAAGAAATGTACGCCATGATGTGGACAGCAGGCAAGGGCAAAAAATGTTCCGATATCCAGCCCTATGCTGCAAGATAAAGCACTGTCGTTTGCCGAAACTGTTGGTTTACGTGATTCAAAGCATCAAATGGTTAGTTGGAAAGTTGGAAATGACGTTACTCCATAAAATCATTCAAAGTTAACAGAGAAAGTGCTAACGTTAACCCTAATATCATTCGTGATTTTAAATTACGTGTTGACGAAATGTGCAATGGCTACAGTCCTGAGAATATCTGTAATGCTGACGAGACCGGTGTTTACTCCCGAGCTCTTCCCGACAAGACGCTTGCAATAAAGACCGACGAATGTAGGGGGTGGTAAAGTGTTCAAGGAGAAACTCAAGGCGCTGTTCACTTAAAGCCATTTTTGATAGGAAAAGCTGCAAAACCTAGATGTTTAAAGAACATTGAAAACAAAACCCTGCCAGTTTATTGGAATTCGAACAAAAACACGTGGATGACCGGCGCACTGTTTACTTAATACCTACAAAATCTAAACAATCAGATGCGTCGCCAGCGAAGGAAATGTTTACTGTTTACAGACATCTCATGGTCCGGACATAAGACTTTCACACGCTAAAATGAAGTTCTTTCCCGCAAATACAACATCGGTGTTACAGCCATTGGATCAAGGAGTTATTCGTGCATTCAAGGCTAGATATCGAAAGAGACTGTTACGTTCAGTAATTGCTAAAATTGTCACAGCCGAGAGTGCTAGCCAAGTTGCAAAATCTGTCAATGTGTTAGGAGCTGTTTACTGGATTAACGCGGCATGGACTGAAACCAAAGAAGCAACGATCATAAAAGTGTTTTGCTAATGGTGAATTTAATGCTGATATCGCTGCAACTGACGACAATGAGGGTCAGAGAGACGAAGAAATTGCAATTTGATGCAGGGAATTGAACACATTAGCGGTTCTGGGGCCCTGTGTAGCGTGGAACAGTATGTCAACTTTGACGACAACATGTCCACCGAGGAAACGTACAGCGGCGATTGGGAACAGGAAATTGTACAAACTTCCTTGCCAACACAACTGAAGACAGCGAAGATTGTGACGATACAAATATCGATTGTGACAACATTGAGAACACAGACTCCAACGATGGCAGTAAAATGGCACACGAAGATGTAATAACCATGTTGACAAAATTACAGAACTTTGCACTGAGTAAGGATTCTCGTTATTTACCCGCCGTTCAGAACTTAAAATCAATCACCGAAGCCGAAATTGTACAAAAACGCTGTGCTAAAAAGCAATCAACATTGGACAAGTATTTCATGAGACAATAGACTGGCATTTTATTTCCAATATTATCAATTTCGTAAAACTTTGTTTTGGCTTCATCAAAATTCAACATAAATTATGCTAATTACACAAAGGCGTCGTCTGCTCTCAGCTTTGAAACAACAAAAATGACGTACCTCTTGTGCCGTTATGCATCGTACACTAGTGTTCTTCTTTATTTATAACACATTGTGTATTTGTTTATCCATGTAAATGAATTTTATTCATAATCAATGTGATTGTAAGACATGCATATAAAGTGAGTGTTGCTTGTACATGAAACTAGGGCCAAGGTCTAACTTGTGAACAGACTCCTATTATTTTTACATGTGATTTTTTGCGACCACACCTACCCTGATAATGGAGGTCGATTTGAACAGGTTTCACTGTATAACCTCTCCTTACATGGCAACATGTCTCGTACTACAATTAAACCCAGCAAAGAAGTAATTATAATTAAACACCTCATATACAACAGTTTAAATGTCTAATTGTACAATTAAATTCTTAATAAACTACACTGGAGAAGTCTCTTGGACACTCCTTGGACGACAATGGACAAATTGCACTCAAAATCCTTGTAGACGACAATGTACAGTCTCATACTACAATTGAACCCAACAGAGAAGACACTGTACAAATCACATACGACAATTTTACTTCTCTAGAAGACAATGTATATGTCGCATAGTACATTAAAACACCCCATACACACAATTTAAATGTTTCATACTACAATTAAACTCCAAATAGATTACAATTTATAACTAATACCATGGACGACGTTGTTCAAGTTTCATACCAAAATTAAACACGTCATAGATGATGCTGTAAATGTCTCGTACTCCAATATATCATCCCATAGACGACAATGTACATTTCGCGTACAACAAATCATAGAATACAGTGTACATGTCTCATGCTACTATGAAACTTGTGACAGCAGATTAAATTACACATGTACTGGCGAGTACTTCCTCTAAGTGTACCAGTTCGCAAATATACATAAAATCTGAAGCTTACATTTTTGGACGTCTTTGTGTATCCGCGACTTGAGACAAATTATATGACTATGCTTTAGAAGATATTAATTACGTAAATATTAATTAAAATAAGTCTACTGATTGAGATACGAGTAAAAACTATCAGAATCATATGCGTTGTGGTGTACATACGTTGTCAAGTACATCACATCAACCAGTACAATTACATATACCATCTTGGATAAACGTAATAATACATGACATGCAACATACGTTGCTGTGGAATACTACCCCCATTCTTTCTGTAATGTTAGAAACAGTCGCGAATTCTAGTTGTTCCTAATGCCTATAAAAATATATGCTAATACGCTTTTAACCAATGTTGCGGGAAACCAAATGGGAGTACCTGAGCAGATCCACTTCAACCTTTCGAGACCTTATCGTGCCTTCGAGGGTTGACCACAAATGGTTTATTCCAGGGGAAATGACAGCTGCAAGTGATAACCTCGGGCAGTTTATCCTGTCCCATAGTCAACACGAATACTAGATGTAACACACGTGACATGGGGCAATTCAAATGAATATATGAGTATTATTTTTGCTTACTTAAGGTATAGATGCAGGTTCGTGGGTACTTGGGAGTGAATTTTCTTTTCTTTTGCTTTTGATCATCCAAACAGTCTTGGGTATAGACTGTTAATATTTCGCAGCATTATGAATAGTGGAATATACTCAAAAGACGATTTTAAAAGACAGAAACAAGTACAAACATTCTCTCTTTTGAATGCTTAGCAAGATTTAGAAAGGCTGTAGCAAACTACTTACTGAATGAGTGGATATGCAAATTATTAATTACCGCTTGTGTTTTTCAGTTTACCATGGAAGTTCAAGTCTAAATAGCTCGCACAGTTCTAGTTTATTTTGAGTGAAAGTTTACTTTATCAGTTGTTTATTAACAAAAGAGCGTCCAGGCGTATGTATAGTATGTTTTGTTTTCATATTACAAAGTTGTCAAGCCTGGCCCCAGTTACATGTACAAGCAACACTCACTTCATATGCATGTCTTACAGTCACATTAATTATGAATAAAATTCATTTACATGGATAAAAAAATACACAAGATGTTATAAATAAAGAAGAACACTAGTGTACGATGCATAACGAAACAAGAGGTACGTCATTCCTCAGCTCCTGAGAGCGAGGTTATTTGTAGATATGCTGGCGATCGCCACTGTGTTTCCGGAAGTACTATGGGGGATTGCATGATGGGAGTAAAAAGTCTTTTGATCAGTAAAATAATTTTAGAAAGGTAAAAACTAGAGTGACTGTGAAATAAAGGTTGGTTTTAAATATTAAATATCGTGGAATCTGGATGAAATAATTAAAAGAAACTGAAGTGGCATGAAAGGGCAGTAAATGTAGCCAGAATGCAAGGTCAGAATCCGGGGTCAAAATACGTCACAATACATCCATCAAGGCTGTTGCAAAGTGTCAACAACTATGGATGAGGTAAAAGACTTCGTTTGCAGTCTGTTTGAATGGCTGGAGAAAAAAAATCATGCAAATTCTATGCTTCAGTAACAGTATTTGCTACTTTTTGTGCAATGGAAATTAATACAAGAAATGCTGCCAATAAACATGTCCTTCTAGAACACAAAACAACCTTGGGACGTTTATCTTGAGAAATTGAGAGGACGAAAATCCTTTGGGACAGTCGTTGTGAAACAATAGACATTTTTCGCCAGGGTATCAAGGTTATTTTGATTATTTGAAGATGGAAACTGCTGCTTTATGGAAGAGCAAAGTTCAATGTCATTGGCACAATAATGACGTTTTTAGAGAGATGACTCGCTAGAAGTATTCGCCGTGACTCCGGACTTTTCATTCGGGTTTATACTACACTTACTTGTTACTATCAAGAAAGTTTAATGTCTTGTGTGTATTTGCACAATGTGAATGAGGGGTTTATTGTCAAAATATATACAGGTGCTTGTATGGATATTGAAACTATACAACATTTCATGTTTTATGTGTTAAAAGAACATTGTTAAATCGTGGTATGATTCCCAACTGTCACCAAACTGTACGTGTTGACGAATCGTATGCACTTCTGGGACTTGTAATAATTTTCTGGAAACTGTACAGCAAATCACATATTTTCCTTATTAATTGTTCATAGTTTTTCTAAATTTTAGTTTTTATTGTTCATAATTATTTACAGTAATAACATATTTTTCCGATTGTGTGCATGACAGCTTTGCCCACACACAATTGGACAGAATATGTATGGATATGTGTGAGTATGTTTCATGGATTAATAGGCCACTCCTTTGCTTCAATTCCAACTACATCTCTGGAAATATCACTTGCATTGTATACAGCATCTAGGGTAGAAATAACATTAGATGTGTTAACACAAGTCGCATAGACAGTTCAAGAACACAAAACAAACTGATAACAACCGATATAGCACAAAGAAAACATAAACGTAAGCGACATAGAAAAATCAATATGAAAACACTGTAGTATATATGAAGTGATGTCAGGAGTTTCAAAAAGAGTGAACACAGCCTGCAGCTAATACATGAATTCATAATACCTGATTTCAAAAGTCATCGACTTGTGTTATGTGAGCTTAGTTAACTAGCTATAGAATTCAGTATTGACGCCAGTTCATGTAGCGTGTACAAGAAAATCATTAACTGTGTTATGCGACACTGCGTGTATATGTATTTAAAGAGCGGTGGTCGTTTCGGTTAGTTGTTTTTTATATGGGTTCCTTGAGCCGTATAAAACGCCTGCAAAACTCATTGTTAGTAGACAAGAAGTTCAAATCTGCGACGCACGACAAACACCGCCTTTCAGTTTACCCATGGACGCATCATGAACACGATAAAAGCTTTTTGATTTTGTTTCTCTAATTAATTACATTCACAAATAAATATCACAGTATTCAATAAATATTAATGCCTATGGCCGTCCAATAATTTTCCACAGAAAAACTTAGGAACACATACACGCTCGTTTCTATTAATCACTTAGTCAATTATTTGTCAGTGACGGGGCGTCGGAGTGCTAGGCAGTAAGACATTTACTCACAACTGCGTGTTGCAGACAAATTGGATATTCAAGGGGTATGCACCGAGTACGTTAAACAGTCTGCTACCCGGTCGTGTGATAACCATCCAAATAGCCTCCATCACATCATTTCATGACAGGTAAATTTGATTTGAAACACCGAGAGATTCTGAAAAAGTTCATTTTGCATATTTTATTGACTGTGCGCGTTATTAATGAACCGCGAACGATCCAGAACCCACAGGTGGTTCCAATGGGCGCTATACTATATCAGTGATGGATAAACTGATACTTGATGCAATTGATTTTCTGTTGTTTTTTTTGTAAAAACATCAGTTATATAGAGTGGAATCGGAACCAATGTGGGTATTAAATTGTATGACGTGTTGTTTTAGTAATTAAACAAATTATCCTTTTTTAAAAATAACCATTTACAATTATGATCATTTAAACCAAATTGTAGATTGATTGGAGATTTTATGGTAGCACGAGACCTGTTTGTTGAAGTAACGAAGCACGAGACCTGGAAGTTTTGTAAACACTACCGCTCATCGCTTGAAATCTTTTAAGTAAAATATATAGGCGTTTATTATATTATTAACATATTGGATTGTTTAACTGAACCTATATTTAGAGTCTTTACAAACTGTTTTGATGGAGTTTTGTCCTTGTGGCCAGACACTTGATGAATATACATCATAACACAGTGGGGCAATTGCATAAATCCAAAATGACCACCATTAAACGACAAATCTCTACCTCAAACTTACTATATTGATTGT